GGCGCGTCGTGGGACTTCTGCACCGGCAAGGGCAAGGGCTTTAACGTTGGTATGAAGGTCGAAGTCGTCAACCCCAAGGGTGGCCCTAGCTGCAAGAACCTCACGTGCATGCAAAAGGGCTGCTCTGATGCGTACCAAGTGCCCAACGACAAGCAGACGTGGGTCTGCGATCAGTCGTCCTCGTACATTATCACGATCTACTGCTAAAGTAATACTAGTAGTACAGCTATGATACCACCGACGTTAACCTCTAATGTGGTTGCTCACAGACGACTCCAGTACCAGCGGGGCTGTCCAATTCAACGTGTCGCGGTTTCGAACCACCGGGACGTGCCGCCTTTCCATCGACGCGACTTGGAAAGACGGGCGGATCGCTGTTGATGCTGCAAAGCCAAGACGGACCAGAGCTCCCTCGACCAGGCGAGCGGCGTTCACGTCATTTGCGTATCCAAGTCATTGGCTACTCCAAGACACTTGTGTGGCCGTGACGGCACGTTGGTCACGCCGGCCGAACGCATGCGGTGCGGGTACGCATGCGCTTCGATGTTTTCTCCAGTCAAGGCTACAATCACCGCAGAGACTTCTTGTTGTGAACGACGCGGTCTTGTCCCTCATCATCGTCGTCAAAAAGAGCGGTGGCACGAACGAGATGACAAGATCAGTGCCATGTGGGCGCCAACTTCAATGCCCATCGCCCATCTTGTGTGTCCTCAACGCGTTCTAAATGGGCCCGGCGCGCTCGACGTCGGCGGCGTCACGAGCCCTCCACGATCGCGACCGTCTCTATCGGCGGATATGTACTAGTAGGCTCGATCGTAAGAAGACGGGAGCCGTGAAGCGCGGCCGCGATTGGTAATGCGTCGCCGATCCCACTGCCCAAGGAAGCTACATCTGCCACTGGCCAGCGGGCGCCAATCACGTGCGAGTCGCCGAACGCGGTCGCGAGTGGCGCCAGCAGAGTCGCATTTGCGATCATCATCGATCGCCATGTACGTTCCCAAGTGGCAGCGCCGCTTGTACACTGCGCTCGGGACCTCGGTCCTCATCTTCGTCGTCGCCGCGCTCCTCGTCTTCCTCACGAGCACGTCCAGCGGTGCTGGCCACATTGACGCCTCCGCGCCTGGTGGTGTACGTATTCTCGGGTCCAGATCGATCGATACCAATGTAAACTAGGTACCGTCACCAACGACAGCCGCGCCCCAGGTCTCTGTACAAGGCACGATCGTCGAGCCAAGCGTAGTGCCGACACCCGCACCGACGACACCGACGCCAAGCACTAGTCGCGCCTTCGAAGCGCGGACGGCGCAGCCGCCGGGAACGTACCGTTTTATCAACTACTGCAATGGCACGGCGCAGAACGCGCTGTATTGGCGCTGGCTCAATGCGCCCGACCACGTAGCGCCGCTACCGTACGGCGCGTCGATCGATTTTAAGTTTTCGGACGTTGGCACGTCGGCGATGGCCCGTCTCGGCGCGTCCGTCGACGCCACGTGTATGTCCTCCATGATTTGATCCGGGCCTCGTCGCTCATGATACCTGTCTAGTGTTTGAGTTCAACTGGGATGGAGCCCGTGTCTGGTACGACCTGAGTGTGGTGCCCGTTGCTTGTGGGTCGAGCTGGGACCTGTGCGCACCAGGGACGCACTCGTCTTTCAACGTCCCCGTGAGCGTCGAGGTCTTTGGTGTCGTCGAGCCATCGTGTGTGAGCGCCTACTGTGCGAACGCGACGTGTCCGAGCATCTATCAAGTGCCCAACAGCCACAAGACGCACGACTGCGGTCCACTGACACGATTTGTTGTTACGTTTTGTTATGTGTAAACTGGGAGCTGTAGATAGGGTATTCTGAAGGCGGTAGGTAATGCAACGAGCTCAATGTGTAGGAGGTATTTCATCGCTGCCTCGTGCTTTGGCGCGACGCAAAAGAGGATGTACCAATGCAGCCCCGGACATGACATCGGGAGCACGCGCAGCAACGAAAACTGCGCCTTGGAAGTACGAGGTCCAGCAGTGTAGACGAACGAGCGCGCCCCACTCGAGCACCAAACATGTCATTCGCATCCGTCTCCAACCGCTCAACCTCGTTAGGCTTGCATGAGAGCTGCCCATCACGCATAGCACGCGCTAGCTATACGAAGGGAGTTATCTCTCTCAATCTGGTGAGCTAGCGCTTGTCA